GGACTTCCCCTCGCCTCCCCCGGAGCGTCTCCACCCACCATGGCGTCTCCTTAGTGAGAGGGCGAGCCCCTGGGGAGGATGGTGACCCGCTGGCGCCTGTCCGTCAGGGTCTGCTTGTCACACTTGAGATGCTTCGAGCTCGGGAAGGAGCAGGGCCTCTCCAGGCCCCTGAGAGGCGCTCGCCATGCCAGACTGTGCTGGCTTTTGCTGGGTACTCTGCCCAAATTCATCTCCGCGCATGGGGATGCTGCAGAGGGGACGCCTGGCGGCGGGAGCCTGCGGAAGACCCGTTGGAGGGACCTGGCTGAAAACGGACGGGTGGAAGTGGCCCAGGCAGGGCCTCTGGGCCGAGTGTTACTGTGTCTCCGTCTGGGGCTCCGCGCTGGCGTCCTCTTGGCGAAATTCTTCCCCCTGCTCTTCTTGTACCCTCTCACCTACCTGGCTCCTGGCCTCTCCACCCTCTGGCTTCATCTGCTTTTGAAAGCCACAGAAACCTCAGGCCCAACATACATCAAATTGGGCCAGTGGGCCAGCACCAGGCGCGATCTCTTTTCAGAGGCTTTCTGTGCCCAGTTCTCCAAACTGCATGTCCAGGTGACCCCCCACCCTTGGGCCCACACGGAATGCTTACTCCGGCAGGCGTTTGGGGAGGATTGGGGCAGCCTCCTCTTTTTTGATACCCAGCAACCTGTGGGTTCAGGTTGTGTGGCGCAAGTGTACAAAGCATTCGCTAGCACTACCTTGCTGGAGAAGGACAGAGTCTGGAGACTTGGGAGACCCTGTGCCCCGCAGCTGTTCTCAGGAACCCGGGCAGTTGGGATGCAGAGAGAGCCCTTTGCGGAGTGGCAGCCTTTGGAAAACCTTGCTGACGAAGCATTTCTAGAAAAGCTGCTTCTCCCTAAAGCTGACCTTGTTAGGTCAGAAGTGGACACATGCCAGGTTCCTGGCTATCCACCTAAGTCAGATCACCTCATCCCAGTGGCAGTGAAAGTAAGTGCTCTCGCGACCCCAGGCTGGTGTGCCCCATCGTTGATCAACTTACCTTGCATGTCTTTGATGAGCTATCCTAGTATAGGATCCATTTATCCATAGTATAAAACATGAGATGAAATTCATTGATATGACACACAGACACACCCCTTATACATGTGGACTACAAGTTATTTCTTGCAATATTTTTAGTGCAACTTTGCTATGACTTCAACTCATCACCTGAGGTTAAGTTTGGAATTTTTCACTTGTGTTAGGTCACTCCTTAAAATGTTTCAGATTTTGAAACATTTCCAGTTTTGGATTTTGGATTAGGGCTGCTCACTCAACTTTATTCTTGTTAGCTCAGCCAATACCTGTTAAATGGAAGCTGTTTCATTTCTCTTTCTGTCTCTCTCTTTTGTGGTAGTGAAGATTAAACCTAGGGTGGAATCAAATTTAGTTCACAAATGGTAGGCCACTGAGCTATATTGTGAAGCTTCGATCTTTTTCTTTGGAGACAAGGCCTTGCTAAATTCGTTGCTCCAGACGGGTTCTAACCTGTGATTCTTCCCTTCCAGGTAGCACAAGGGATCATAGGTGCTACTAGGCCTCCAGCCTCAAGTTCCTTCATCTCTCTCTCTCTCTCTCTCTCTCTCTCTCTCTCTCTCTCTCTGTCTGTCTGTCTCTCTCTTTCTTGGTAGAGCCTTACTATGTACCCCCCTTGGTAGTTCTGGATCTCACTGTGGTAGACTGCAGAGATCTGCCTGCCTGTGCCTCCTGTGTGCTGGATTCAGGGTGTGTTCCGCCACAACAGGCCCTGGTTTCATTTCTTGACTTTAGGGAGTGATGATGTGAATAGTCTAAAATAGACTTGAATTTTGCTATTTCTGGGGAAGAGGGGCCACCACCCAAGAGCATCATGGGTTTTGGTTTACTTTGCTTTATTTTGAGGAGAATCACTCTGGTTCTTTTGAGGGTGGGAGCCAGTGCTGGCTAGGTAAAATGTTTTCTGATTCCCTGTCTTGTTCATGGTTCTTTCTGGCAGGTGTTACACCCTGGCCTGCTCACTCAGGTGTACATGGATTTACTGCTGATGAAGATTGGCAGCCAAGCCCTGGGGCTTTTACCAGGAGTCAAATGGCTTAGCTTGCCTGAGATTGTGAAAGAATTTGAGAAGCTCATGATCCAACAGGTGACTCCTTCTCTCAGCTGTGAATAGCACCTACCATAGTTCTTGCCATTAGTGGTTGCAGATAAACAGGTGAATGGAAAGGTTATTTCCCAGGATGGCATTCGGAATATGATCTATTAGTCGGGTTGGGTAAGGCTAGCTGAGGAAACAGTATAGCCCAGTCCCACTGGTTTCACACAGCTAGGCTATTTCTTGCTTATAACCAGAGGGTATCCGGAGGCATGAGGAAGAGGGACCTCTCCTTTGGAGTGTTTTAGGACCTATTTTCTTTGCAAGATTGGCACTGCCATTACAACAGAGCCTGTGCTGCCTGTCACCACAGAGACCAATGAATACAGACAAACACTGAACCTTGACAGTTTTTGACTTCATATTCATTTACTTTGTGTGGGTCTGTGGAGATGGGTAGGGATGGGCATGCCATGGCATGTGTGCATAAGTCAGAGGAATCCGTTCTCTCCCTCCACAGACTGGGTCCTTGAGCCGGGGATTCCCATAGCACCAAGTGTGTTTGCCCACTGAGCCATTTCACTGGTCCAGAATTGAATCTTCCAATTATGCTTTGTTTAGAGAGTCTGTGATTTGAGAAGGCAATAGATTAGCATCCTTTAACAAAAGACCCGCCTTACATATTTTCTCCAGTTGTCAGGCTTTGAGGTGGTCTGGGAGTGGGGAAACAAAGGCAACCTTTCATTCTGGAGCTCAGTCAGTCCTTTGCCTATAGTTTTGAGGCTCGTGCCTCTCTGGTATCTGTGACTTGTGCTCTTCCTCATTCTCTGTGTGTGAGAGCTGGGGCGGTTCTAGAAGCACCATCTATGTAGTGTTCTCAGTTATCAGCCTCATGCTTCCCCAGGAGCCTCTGAGCAGAGGTGTTGAGCACAGCATCCCACAGATGACATGGTATGCCTGTTACGCTGTGACTAACTGGACATAGAGATTCCTTTTTGCAATTTAGAATACGGGTATGTCTTGTGATACAGAACAAAAATGCCCTAATCCATCCTCTTGGCCCCTATTACCATCTCCAACATAGTCAGTGTGGAATGGAGCTGACATGGAAGATATAAGAGATTTTTATGGGCAGGCCAAGAAGTGGGAAACATTTCTTCCAGCCTGCCAACCAGAACTCCATGGAACTCTGAGAGCGCTTAGGAAACACAGTCTCCCTTTGTGTCTCAGGGCAAAACGAAACTAAATGGGTCATATTATCTCTGTCACCAGCAGAGGCTGACCTCTAGGGCCAGAAGACTCATTAGCTTTGTTTTGCTTTGTTTTTAGAGCTAATTGAGTAGACAAGGACCTCTCCCTGTTGGGGACCCTCGGGGCATTTGTATAATTAGCCAGACTTGGTAAATTTATGTTGAAGGTGCCTGAGCCTTCAAGTGGGCATCTGCCCTTGCTCCCTACTGCTCCCTACTCAGATATGGGCTGGTTTTCAGAAGCTATATATGAAGACTTCATCTATATCTGCTGGTTGAAAATTTTAAAGTCCCAGACACTGGTTTTGATGTTTAGAAAGTAATTGGGTACCTATGGTGGTGGTTCAGGCCTGTGATCCCAGCATTCAGGAGGTGGAGGCAGGTGGATGTCTGCAAGTTCAAGTCCAGATTAATCCAAGTGAGTTCCAGGCAGCGAGGTCCTATTTCAAAAAACAAAAATGGACAATAAAGTTATTTGGGATAACTAGAGCAACAGTGAATTTTACCAGTAGTTCCGAAGACTAAGCCTGGGGTCAAGAGAGTTTCTGGTTCCTTGATGTCTTCCCATGGTAGGAGGGGATAGGGTCTCAGGCCTCCTGTATAAAGACAATCTAGAGTTGCATTCTCAGGACCTAATCACTCTGCAAAGTCCTTCTTGGTTATATATACTATTATTGGAGGCTAGGATTTCAAATAGGAATTTGTGGGGGACAGAGAGGTGTGTGTGTGTGGGGGGGGGTGGGGGGAGGTCTGACATTCAGACCAGGGTAGAGGGCTTGGCTTTCTATCCTGGAGTATTGCAAATTTGATGAAAAGGCAATTAAAACAGAGAAAATAGCTTCTAGTCCAACCCCTGTCTCTTCATTTTGACTCTTGGCTTCACCCCGCTTCTGAGCTTCAGCTCCCATTAAAAGCCCGATAGACGTCAGGGTCCCGTCTCTTGAAACTCGCATCCCCACATTTTACCCATTTGTTTTAAACCAGCCTCTCCAGGTAGCCCTGACTGACAGTTGCAGCACATCGCAGGCCAGGTGTGCGTGTCTAAGGGCCCGAGTCTATGCATTAGTGTAGTTGTGTCACAGTTACTACACTCCCAGGAGTGAGGTGGTGTCAGGCTGCATGGGTGCTCAGCACACTGTAAGACTTGATGGGAACCAGGCAGTGGTGGTGCACGCCTTTAGTCCCAGCACACGGGAGGCAGAGGCAGGCGGATCTCTGTGAGTTCGAGACCAGCCTGGTCTATAGAGTGAGCTCCAGGACCTCCTCCGAAGCCACAGAGAAACCCTGTCTCAAAAAGCCAAAAAAAAAAAAAAAAAAACTTGATGGGACTGTAGAGGAAGGCAGGGGGCGCCAAAGATCAAAGTAGGTGTATCTAAAGAGAGACCAGGAGCCAAACAGACTCACCTGGATGCCATTCCAAAGAGCAGAGGTTTCAGGGCTGGAGAGATGGCTCAGTGGTTAAGAGCACTGGCTGCTTTTGCTGAGGTCCACCCACAGGCAAACCCGTGTAACTCCAGCTCCAGGGACTCTGATAATGTCCTTTGACCTCTGTGGGCAACAGGTATGCGTGTGGTGTGCAGACACACGTGCACACACAACACTTATACATATAACATAAATTGCCTCCAATTCCCAAGGGCTGGGACTAAAAGGTGTGTGCCACCACCACCTGGCAAATGTTTTCAAAGAGTGTGGACAGCACCATTCACATGACATGGATATAGTCAGACAGATTAGGGGAAAAGTTTGGAAGTCTATTAACATAAATATGGGGTTGGGCATTCAGCTGTGGCAGTTGCTCCAGTGGGTTGGAGGGCAAGGCCATCCCTCCGGAAGTGGCCGTAGCACACTGATCATAGTGGAAGGAGAAGGCAAGGGCACTGAGGTCAGAGGGGCATCCATTGGCTGCTCGGAAGGGGGGCCAAATCCTACCCGGGGATCTGATGTCTGCCTTAGGGAGTTCATGTGGACAGTGGATGAACTTTTGTGGCAGCTGCTAGCTCCCTGGTGGAGCCCGAAGCTGGTGAGGAAAGAGGGAGTGGAGCCCGCTGACCTGCCCCCCCCCCCCCAGTAGGTGCTCCCTGTGTCCACACTGACTTCTCTTCCCTCTCCATCTGTGCAGACAGACCTGCGGTACGAAGCTCGTAATCTAGAACACTTTCAGCACAACTTTGAGAACATGGCATCTGTGAAATTCCCCACCCCGTTGCACCCCCTCATCACTCGGGACATACTGGTGGAAACATACGAAGTAAGAACCTGGTTCCGCTTGTCACTAGTAACTGGCCATCCCCACAGGGGCTTCATGCTGGAGAGAGGATAGGGTTCGTGTCTGTAAAACTGGGAGAGGGTTGAGAGGGGTAGAGGGCTTGTCCGGCATGTGCAAGGCCCAGGTCCCTTCCCGGCGCTGCAAAACACCAACCTACCATACACACAAACTCTGGGAGAAGCCGGAGGAAGAGACTGAGTGCCGAGAGCTGGTCTGGAGAGGTGCAGGTAGCCAAAGGCTTGTTAGAAATGAAAACCTACTTGGCTGTCTTGTTAGCTGGTGACCTCATGGCACTGTCCCAGGAGTAAGTAACACATTGAATGTGAAAGAAAACACCTGGGACACAAAGGACATGCTTGGCAAGCATTCGCCTTAGCTGTCCCCTAGGCCTGTCTCATTAGGAAATGGTAGAGACAGCTAAGCACTTATTTCCTAGCCGTGTAACTCTGACCCTTTCTTAGACTCTGGCTTATGTTTTCTGCTCTGTCTCAGTGGGTTGCCTTGACAAACTGAACCAAGGGTTGACTTGCTGGTTGCTTGTTCGTTCTTCTGGCTGCTTTTTCCCTTTTCCTGCTGGAGCTCCCGCTCATGTCTGTTGGATGATCCTTTTGTTTAATTTTGTTTTGAGACAGTCTCACACATTCGAGCTTGGCCTCAAACTTTCTATGACCTTAAACTCCTGCCTGTTCTTCCTGCCTCTGCTTCCTAGGGGCGGGGACCACCATGCTCCCCCTAACCTCCTGCCTGTTCTTCCTGCCTCTGCTTCCTAGGGGCGGGGACCACCATGCCTGGCTCTAGGCTCCCTCTCAGCGTCTGCCCCTGTCTTTGCCCAGGGCCTCTGCCCATCTCCTTCCTGTTGGTAGCAGAGTCAATAGCTGCACACCGTTGAGCATTTCTTTTGAGAAGTACATGAAGGGAATGTAAATAGATTTAAAGCAGCATGTTAGTGATAATTTGTAGGTCACCTTGCTGTCCAAGGAAGACAGCACAGATGTGAGTGACCTGCACAGGGGAGGAGGTGGGGTGGCCAGCAGCATTGGATTGAAGCCGTCTCCCTCCTGTCTTTAAGGAGAGTGTCCCAGTGTCCAGCTACCAGCAGGCAGGGATTCCTGAAGACCTGAAGAGGAAGATTGCACAGCTGGGGATCAACATGCTTTTGAAGATGGTGAGCTTGGGGCCCCGGATGTTGAGGTTCAGTACATGAAAGTGCTGGGACCCATGTGCTACTTAAGAGAAAGTGCTGAGGGCTCTGCCAGGCCCCGGCTGGAGTTCAGCCAAGCAGAGAGCTTCAGGTTGAGAACATTAGCTGAGCGAAGCTCCTCAAGTGTTCCTGTGACACAAAGCTTGTGTCCTTGCTCTGTGGCGTGTCTTCTGTGTGCTGTGGAAAGAGCGGAGAGCCACAGCTCAGACCAACGGCAGGTATGATGTGTGTTAGATACTCCTCGTTCGTTCGTTTGTTCATTCATTCATTCATTATTTATGGAGTACATGCTGTATGCCAAGAGCTGAATTAAGGGTTAGACTTAATTGGAAACAGATTTGACAACAGTGTGTCCTGGGTAAACAGCTGGGAAGAAGCAGGTGGCATGGAGGCTGTGCTCAAGGATTAGCTCGAAGGGACTTTTTCTGGGGCCAGGGCTTCACCCAGGAAGTAAGTGGCTCCATTTTGTCTGGGATGGGGAGACTGTCACCAAGGTGAAGAAAAATGGCGAGACTTGTCTAGAGAGAGCAGCCTGTGATGAGGACGAGTCTCAGTGGGAGATGTGAGGGCACACGGGGCAGGACTCTCAGAGTCAGGACTTGTGGGCAAGGGGCTTATCTGAGTTCTCGTCCCTTAAAAAATTTCCTACTTCATTATTGCAATATTTGCTCAAGTACACACACACGAGACAGGTTCTTTCTGTATAGCCTCGAGTGACTTGAAACTTATTATAGAGTCCAGGCTGACCTCAAACTCAGATTAATCCTCCTGCCTCAACTATTTAAGTACTAGGATTATAGGCCGGCAGGCCTGACAAGTATACAGGTCTTAAATATATTTTTAAATTTGTATATTTTTTAATTTATTAAAACCTTTTAAGTTTTAAAAGTTTGCCTGGTGCCAAGAAAGCCAGCCAAGGGCATTGAATAACTTGGAACTGGAGTTACATATGGTTGTGAACTGACAATTAGGTGCTGGGAATCTCACCAGGTCCTTTGGAAGAACAGCCAGTGCTCTTAATCGATGAGCCACCTTTCCAGCCCCAGTTTTTTTTTTTTTTTTTTTGAGATAGAGTTTCTCTGTGGCTTTGGAGCTTGTCCTGGAATTTGCTCTGTATACCAGACTGGCGAGTGCCAGGACAGCCTCCAAAGCCACAGAGAAACCCTGTCTTGAAACTCCCCCCCCAAAAAAAAGAACTCCCTCTGTAGACCAGGTTGGCCTTGAGCTCACAGAGATCCACCTGCCTCTGCCTCCCAAGAGCTGGGATTAAAGGTGTGTGCCACCACACCTGCCCGGGCCCCAATTTTTAATTTAAAAAATGTATTTTTAGTGTATATGTGTATGCATGAGCCCGTACATGCCATGTGGTGTGTGCAAGGGAGTCAAAGGACAGACAACTTGTAGGAGTCAGTTCTCTCTGTCCATAACAGATCTGTGGATCAAACTCAAGTGGTCAGGCTTGGTGGTAAGCACCTTTACCTACTGAACCATCTTACTGGCCCCTTAATGAATTTTAAAAATCCATTGAATTCTTCAATCCTGCTGCAGGCAGTGGAAGAATGTGAGGCAGAGAGATAGGCTAGTCGCGACAGCAGACCTCAGCGTGGAGTTAGGTTGGAGCAGTGAGGTGAGGCAGGGAGGTGGGTGCTCTTGTGGAGGAGCCCAGAGGCAAATGGTGATTTCTTTTTTTCTCTTTTGAGATAGGGTCTCAGGTAGCCAAGACTGGGCTTGAACTCACTTTGTAGCTGAGGGTGACTTTGGAAGTACCAATACTACTTTCTCTACCTCCCAAATGCTGGGATTACAGGGTTATGGCCCACGTGTACTGCCACACTGGGCTGGTGTTGACTCTGTAATAGATTTGGGCCTCTCATCGTGGAAGCCCTTATCTAGCTTTTCTGTCTCACACCTGTACATGAAGACAAGAGGAGATGAGTAGCAGGCCCTTGGTCTCATCAGGAGGGGTTCCATCTTCCATAAAACTGCAGCAGGGGATCTCAGTGGAGCCTTTAACCACCAGGGAATGCCTGCTCTGTCTGGTGACATACTTAGCTGTTAGAGCTGGGTCTGGGATGTGTCTGGAACCAGGTGTGTAAAAAACGGCTATGGAGACTCCCAAACACTTGGGGCATATAGGGTAGTACTTGGCATTCCCAGCAATGAATTGGGAAACCTGGGGATCGAGGGCAGGGGAAGTGAGTGTGGGGGCATCCAGAGGCTTGTTGCCTGTGGGGGTGGGGTGGGGTGGGTCAAGAGCTGAGGTTGCTGACTGATAGGTGGGGTGGATGCAGAGGAGATGGGGAGACTTGAAACTGAGAAAGAACTCAGGGAGTGTGGAAGAGCTGCCAGGTGGTGTCAAAGCCAAGCTGACACCAGGTGCTGGAGGTGCATTTGAGCTATCTGTGGTCTACTCAGGTGTCTTGGAGCCAAGTTGATCTGGTAGTGTCTGAATCCAGATGTTAGTTCTGTCACCTACTACCTGGGCATGGGAAGGGGCAGCTGGGGCAGGACCTTGAATGTCTGCCCTTGTAATTCTAACACTTGAGTGGTGGAGGCAGGGGGAATCTCTCAGAAGTTGAGGGCAAGGCTGGGCTACATGAGACCCTGTGTCATAAAATTAAAACTCAAACCAAACAGAAACCTTTGACTTGGCCAAACTCTGGTTTGAGAGCATCTAGAAGCAAGGGCTTTGTGGGATGCCCACCTCTTTGGCTTGTCACTGGCAGCTTGCTGTCCCCTAAAACTTTCTGCAGGTACCCAGTGGTGCTAGGGTGGGAGCATTGGCACAGTCCTGACTGGTGCAGTCTCTTCCAGATATTTGTGGATAACTTTGTGCACGGAGATCTTCACCCTGGGAACATCCTGGTCCAAGGTGCTGACGGATTGTCCCCAAGCCTGGAGATTCAACAGCAGCAGGTGGACGTCAGTGACACACTGGTGGCTACCATAGCGCCTGCCCTGTGCCCACTGCGCCTGGTGCTGTTGGATGCTGGCATTGTGGCAGAATTGCAGGCTTCAGACCTGAGGAATTTCCAGGCAGTTTTCCTGGCTGTAGCGCTGGGGCAGGTGAGACTCACTGGGGGTTGGCCTTTAGGCTCTGGGGAAAGCCCACTGTTGGTTGCTAGGATGCTGTGGTTGGACATGGGTGGAGCAGGTGTGGGCATTGCCAGTATGCTGGTTCTCAGGCTTGGCAGCTTAAGGTTGGCACCCTTAGTTGGGAAGGCATTCTTCTCTCCAGCATTGTGTGACTGTAGTTTCTCTTACTCTGTCAGCAGATTTGTTGGTGTGCTGGTGACAAGAAGCTAGCTTTGAAAAATTATTTATTATTTATGTGTGTGATGTGTGTGTGATCAGGTGAGCATGAGACTTGGTGTGCATGGGATGGGCAGAGGACACTCTCAGGACTTTGGGGAGGCAGCTCTGTCCTTTAGCCCTGCTTTTTAGGGATTGAACTCAGGTCCTCAGTCTTCTGTGGCAAGCACCCTTAGCCACTGAGCCATCTCACTAGCTATGCTAGCTTTTTGATCAAACAGTGGCTGTCTTCCATCAGTGCTCTTGGCTGCAAATGTCTACAGTGTAGAGAACATGTCTTCCACGTGGGCACGAGATGGTTGGGGTCTGTGGTGTGAGGATGTAAGTGGCTTCCCCCAAACACTCTGGGGGCTTCAGAGGTTGGGAGCTATTATAGAGAACACAACGTCTGACAGTCCAAATGAAGTGGACTGTGTTATGTGGAGTCCAGGTGGGGGTCATAGCAATGAGGGTGGGGAGACTCTGCTGACTGCATGGGATAGGAGTTTCCTGTGACAGAATGCTGAAAAGGGGGCTTTTATTGGAAACAGGGTCTCATTTTATAGCCCTGGCTGGCCTGGAAATTGCTATGTAGTCTAGCAAGCTGGTCTTGAACTCAGAGAGATCCACCTGCCTCTTCCTTCAGAGCACTGGGACTAAAGATGGGCATCACTGCCCGGCTTGAGAGCTGTTTTCTTTTTAAAAGAAACAAGATTCAAGGATGTCCTTCTTAGCTTTTTGAAGGAGCCAACTAAAGCTGTGGCCTGAAGCCAGTGTGAGGTGCCTCCTGCTTAAACACAGGGATACAGAGTAGGTGGGGCCATCTTCCTCTGTCCAGATTGGTGTAAGGGACAAAGGTCACAGCCACAGCAGGAAGAGTTTGGTTCTTGTAGCCACACTGTGGGAGGTGACACCAGGGAAGGACTGAATGTCCTGGGAGACTGTGGGCACTTTGGTTGGAGGGGTCTCATGGATCAGGGAAAAGGCTTTGTCACAGGGACCAGGACAGCTCAGCCCCTCCAGCCTACTTGCTGGGCCATGTGGTCATCAGGGTCATGGAACTTAAGCATCAGGACTCTGGCCTTTTCCTGACTGGAAGTACCCCGGTGTAGCCCAGCAGTGAGAAAGAGGCTGTTTGCATCATTGTCTTGACTGGGTTAAGCATAGAGCAGGGCTGCTGGCTAACAGAGACCTTCAGATCAGTGGGTAGCTAGCAGGCCTCGTGGATAGTGGCTGCTGAAAAGAGTAGGGCACAGGAACTGGGTGGTAGAAACACGGGGGGGAAGAACCGAGAGACAGGAGCACGCAGTGTGCTCCCTCTGTTCCACCAGGCCACTTTTTTTTTAATATATCTTCCAGGGCCACAAAGTAGCTGAGCTCATCCTGCATCATGCCCGGGCCAATGAGTGCAAGGATGTGGAAAGGTTCAAGGAGGAGATGGCTACACTGGTGACCCAGGCCAGGAAGAACACCCTCACACTGGAAAAGGTAGGCAGGCACTGTGGGTGTTGACAGAGCTATGCTAAATCGAGCGTACTCTTTGTGGGAAGCTTGCAAAGGGCAGTTTTTTTTTTCTATGTAGTCCTGACTGTCCTGGAACTTGCTCTGTAGACCAGGCTGGTTTGGAACTCATAGATCTGCCTGCCTCTGCCTCCCAAGTGCTGGGATTAAAGGTGTGTGCCACCACCACCTGTCAGAAGGTAGGGTTTTTAAAGCAGGTTAAAAAAAAAAAAAAAGCCTTATTCTCACATCTTCCAAGAGGCTCAAGAGGCCAACTTAAGTCACAGGCTCCTTATTCAGGGAGTAGCTGTTATGGAGACATCTGAACGTGCAGGGGAGGCAGCATCCCAGAGATGTGCCATACACCTGTGTCCCCTGTTTGGCCTGACCCCGAGTCCATGGTGTACTCACACTGTTAACTCACCTGTGTCTGTCAAGTTAATGGCCTACATGAGCAGGACTGCCGTGCAGAGTGGCCACCAGTGATGCTGACTGACTGGTGTATGCAGATGTTTACTAATCTCACGCGAGCAGGCATGTGGGCGCACACGCGTGCACTCACACACACACACTCATACACACTCACACACACACTCGAGCACATACACACGCACATGTGCACACAGACACTCACACACGTGCCCGAACTGGTGCCCACAGCAGGCAAGCCTCTATCTCTGCTATTGAGCGACACCCTAGTCTGTTTCCTGGGGAACATGCTGAGTGTGGCGAGGGATAGGGACAAGGGTGGAGCGGACGTGGTTCTGAGGCTTCTTCTGCAGGCATTTGTGACCTGTATGGGAGGGAGTGGCCCCGTATGGGTAAAGTCCTTTTTGTTGTTTGATGGGAGCTCCCTTTCTCTTAGTGTGCGAACACTTCTGAGCGTAAGCAGAGGGGAGTGGAGAAGTGGGAAAGGACAGGACCCTCAAGGGGAAGAAATGCTTCTGGGATTCTCCTGGGTTCTTTTGTTTTCCAGCTTCACGTCTCCAGCCTCCTCTCCAGTGTTTTTAAGCTGCTGATGACCCACAAGGTGAGATGTCATCAGAGAGAAGTCTTGGGAAGAGGTGGGGCAGGGCACAGGACAGTGGAGTGGGTAGACCCGCTTTCCCTCAGCTTCTTTTGCCTATGGATTGTGGATTTCTAATCTTGTGAAGCAGGCCCAGTGGGCTCATGGTCCCTCCAGAACAAAGTCTGTGGATCTGTCAACCTAAGTGCTGTAATCCTTGCATGTAGAAAAATGTATTTAAAGACAGAAAGGGTCCAGCCAGATATTCCCTCTCTTCCCCTCCCTGGCTTGTGTTAATGGCGCTTAGGTGAGGTGCCACCAGAAGCCCCAGTGTACCTACCCTCCTGGGAGGAGGGTGGATGGTAGACTGTAGAATCCCATGGGCAGGACAAGAGAGGCACAAGGGTCAGTGATATGGTTGTCCAGGATGCTCTGGGAAGAACTGCTGTTTTCTGTTCCAGGTAAAGCTCGAGAGCAACTTTGCCTCCATCGTGTTCGCCATCATGGTGCTGGAGGGGCTTGGCCGCTCGCTGGACCCCAAGCTGGACGTCCTGGAGGCAGCAAAGCCCTTCCTCCTCAAGGGAGGAGGGCTCCTGTGACTGTGGGCACCCAGTGAGGGCAGATCCTGAGGGTCTGTCCTTTGGCAGCTGAGACATCTACACTTGGGATGTGTGACCTAGCTTCAGGATCTGTCTAAAAAACTTTGGGGTATTTAGGGTATAAAAGGGGCAGGGGAAGCTGAAACTGGTGCCAGAGAAACCATTTCAGGAAAAATACCCTGCAGAAGAAGACAAAATACATTTACTTATTTTGTTTTTCTGTTTTTCTCCCCCTTTAAAAAAAGTGTGTGTGTGTTTGTGTGTGTGTATGTGTATACAGATGCCAACAGAGGCCAGCAGAGGGCATTGAATAACCCTCTAGTTTTAGGCAGTTGTGGACATGGGTGTTGGGAACTGAACACCCATGGGATCTCTGGAAGAGAAACGAAGTGTTCCTCAGCACTGAGCTGTCTCTCCTGCCCCTTCTTTCTTTCATTTTAAAATTACACTTACTTGTGTAAGGGGGGGGGGCTGTGGGGAGGTGTGGGGGACAGCTCATGCTCCATAGCATCTGTGTGTGTGTGTGTGTGCCTAGAACTAGACAGCTATGTAGCTATGTAGTTTGGGGAATAAGCTTTCCAGAAAGGATTGACAGCTTCTGCCCTTTCTATTCATGGGCTGTATCTCTTAATGGTTTGTACACACCGTTAGAAGGAGTGGTAAACGGTAGCCCAGAGAAAACCATGCCATTGGATATAAACTAGAAAGTCAACTTTCATCCATAGAGAGAATTCTGCAGGTTCAGGGTTCAACCCAAGGCTTGTCTTCCTTTAGCAAACACCATTTGCCGCTTATAAGCCAGTATTTGGGAGCCAAGAATTGGTGCATGGGAAGGAGTCAGGTTTAGAACATGGAGGGGCTATTGTCTTCAAAGCATTAGCTTTAAGGAGCTTATCCAGAGTGTGGTCTCTGTTTCTTCCCTGTGGGGACCATCCCAGTCAGTCAGCTTCCTGTTTAGTTCCTGTGTTTTCTGAGAGAGAGAGAGAGAGAGAGAGAGAGAGAGAGAGAGAGAGAGAGAGAGAGAGAGAGAGAGAGAGAGCGAGCTTATATATACATGCATGTGAGTGAGTACAGGTACCCATGGAGGCCAGAAGTGGGTATCATCTCTTGGAGCTGGAGTTACATGTGGTTGTCAGCCATGTGATGTGGGTGCTGAGAACTGAAGTCAGATCCCCAGGGAGAGCAGAACAAGTTCTTAAGCACTGAGCCATCTCTCCAGCTCCCCTGGATTTTCCCAATATCACTTATCATCGTCTACAGGTTAAACCTCTTAGCAATTTACATCGTTTGTATGGTTTATGCACAGAACTAAAACTAAGGAAGAACATTGATTACTCCTGATGTTATCTGAAGTCCATCAGATGTTCTAGGTTCTTTAAAGCTAAAGAAAGACTATTTATACTTAGTAAAGCCAGTGAGGTAGCTTAGCTGGTTCAGAGAGTAAAAGTGTGTGCTGCTAAGCCTGCTGGCCTTAGTTCAGTCTCTGGGACCTACATGACAAAGGAGAACGGATTCCTGTAGATTTCATCTGACCATTTGTGTACCATGGTACATTCATACTCATACACATTACACCACCACCACCACCACCACACACACACACACACACAGAGAAAGAGAGAGAGAGAGAGAGAGAGAGAGAGAGAGAGAGAGAGAGAGAGAGAGAGAGAAATAATGTAAGCCTGGATCCCACATGGTGGAAGAAAATCAGCTCCTGAAAGTTGTCCTCTGATCCCCACATGCTTGCCACAGTACACGTGTACCCCACACATAGCAACACACACAAAATGAAGTGATAAAAATTTTTTTTACCATCACTTTTTATCTTCTCAGAGTAGGTCTTGCTTGCTTGCCACCCAATATTTGGAGGCTTGGTGGGAAGAAGTCAGGTTTATTTATCCAGGATCTTGCAATTATGAGTTCTGTTAGGATTTAACTCCTACGACAGGTTTCCTGTTACATGCAGGGGCAAAGAGTGCCATATGTTGGCACAGAAGGCAAGTTATTAGTCATATGTGATGCTGTCATGTCAGGAAATTCAGGTCTATCCTTGATAAGTATCTATCCCATACCTGACTCTCTTTTCTTTTTGATTTTTCAAGTCAGGGTTTCTCTGTGTAGCTTTGTAGACCAGACTGGCCTCGAACTCACAGAGATGTGGCTGCCTCTGCCTCTTGAGTGCTGGGATTAAAGATGTGCACCACCACCACCCAGCCCCATACTTGACTCTTGAATATGGATGGAACACCATAGTGATTCTCCAAATTGTGAGTTTGGCAGGCTAATGTTACAACTTAAAACTGCATGTTCTGAAAGCAAACCAGAACTATAACGTACCAGGGAAGACCTTGCTGGAAACAATATTCTCAGTATCACCAAAAACAAAACAAAAAAGCCCCACAATACAAACAAACAAAACCCCCAAATCAAAACCAGCCCACTAGAACATATGGAAAGTAACCCTGCAAGGCAACATCTTTTTGTAAACTGTGTGCCACAACCTAAACTGGCCTTGCAATTATGAGTTGTGTTTGGACTTCACTCCTTGCAGGCACACTAGGGCAGGAAGTGTACTTGTTCTGACACAGGTGACGACTGTGTCCCATCCTCGTGGTGAGAGATCAACCTCACTGTCTGCCAAGGTTGGATCGTTCCTAATAGCTGCAAAGAAAGGAGGAAAGGGGTCAGTAGCTGTTACCAGGTTCCCAGAACGAAAGGCCTTTGTGCAAACAGGTTTTCCAGCTGGTTAAGTTTTACAAGGTGGAAATTTTTGGCATATTGTCCCTTTGTGTGCTAGCCACCTTTTATAGAAAAAAACCTTTCTCACAACCTCAACAATTTGGGGGTGTTAGGAGTGAATCATAGAGAGTTGGCGTCTATCCAGGTGTGGGCAGACAGTTGGGAACGGGCTTCTGTTTGCGCTGCAGCCTCCTGTGCGAGCCGCTATCACAACGGAAGTCAGCCCTCAGGTTTGCTGCCACCTCGGGACCCGGTGTGCTCGCTTTCCTGCTTGCCGGTTGCAAGAGTAACAACGGGAGGCAGAACCGAGAGTCCCGTGCTGGCTGGGGATCAAGGGGTTGGGAACCTCCACCCTACTCCTGGCCTGACTCATTCGGAGAACGCAGGGTTGGCTTCCTCAGGTGACCCTGACGCCGCCACCACCACGGGCTGCGGGTTAGGCGTCAGGCAGGTTTCAGAGCGTAGCAAGGCTCAGGAAGGGCTCAGGCCATCAACACGGGGCCCACCGAGGCGAGCACGCGCGTGGCGTCACCGAGCCAAAGCAGGGAGGGCAGCAAGGTCAACCAGGAGCGCCTGGCCTGGCTGTGCATGTTCCCTGCGGGCCACCATCGGCCCCGGCGGAGCGCGGCCGACGCGGTGACGTCACGGCGCG